ATGATTTATTCTCATTACTTTGAAAATATAGTAATGAAAATCCCATCATTAGTTCATAATATTTAATGACCTACTCAAGAAGTACATATTACATCGCAAATTTGTTTTTATTTTTTTATTTAAGATTTTATTTATTTATTCATGATAGAGAGAGAGAGAGAAAGAGAGAAAGAGAGAAAGAGAGAGGCAGAGACACAGGCAGAGGGGGAAGCAGGCTCCATGCAGGGAGCCCGATGCGGGACTCGATCCCGGGACTCCAGGATCACGCCCTGGGCCAAAGGCAGGCGCTGAACCGCTGAGCCACCCAGGGATCCCCACAAACTTGTTTTTAATATTGATAACTATACTCAAATATAAGTAGTCTCCTTTAATTCTGTATATTTTATAGTTTAAAAAACCCTACTCTGAACAGGGATCCATGGCAACAAAAAGTTTAAGATACTTTGCTTTATTTAACTAAAATGCAGGTGTAACATAGAAGGCAAAGGAATAATTTCCAAGAGCCATCAAAGGTGCATAATTGAGAGGAGGGGAAGGCTTTAAATTTTCAATCAAAATAAGGCCAAGTTCACCAATAAGAGTCTTGAGGAAGGGGATATGGGAATACAGAAGGATTTATCAACTAGGAGAGGCTGACTAGGGGGATGAAGGGACCAATCTAATTGAATTAAAAAAAAATTTTTTTTTTTAAAAAAGGAGAAGAATGAAGCTGTACAAGGTCTGGGCAGGTTCTGTGCTCTTAGAAGGAGAAATGCAATCTAGGCTCCTTCCCATCTCGGAGAAACCAAGTAGCCAGAGAATTTAGGAGAGTCAGATTTACCTTTGGGAACTTAGAGACAGTTAAGTACTTCTAGTCTGATTTTAAATGCACTTGTGGTACAAAAGGTATCTATATGCTTCCTGATGAAATTATTTTATAAAGAAGCATGTTTCACATTTACAAACACAGAAATGATATAAAAATAAAAATGATTGGGTTTGTTTAGATTTTATTACAATATCATCACCCACTGAGAACTTACATCACCTGTCATTTTAACTTAACTATTAACTGTTATCATCAGCAAGTTCATTATTCATCTACGATCTCTATTTCTTAAATCTGCATAAGAGTCACCTGACAAACTTTTTTTTTTTTAACCTGACAAACTTTTACAACACTGATGTTGAGATCCTAGCTGCAAGGATTATGACTTAATTACCTGGATGGGGCCCAGATTTTGGTATATAAGAGCTCTCTGGAGGACTTTACTATACAGCAAGGAATGAGAGCCTCTAATCTAAATCACTGATCCAAAATCTAGCCTCCAAGTTTTCCCTTCCTCAAGTCCAATAACCTTCGCCCACTCTCTATCTCTACCACTATCCACTGAACTTTAATCACCCAGGACTGTCCTTCTCTTGGAAACTACATTTCAAAATACCTGTCTTTCTGCCACACTCTGGTCTTCAGTCTCACCAAGCCTTTCCTGTCCCTCAACCCCTCATTTCTTTCAATCCACTGTCCCTCTCACAGCCTTACTTCCTTTCTGAATTAGCCCGTAACACATAATATATTACCTCAGTCATTCTCTGAGTCAGAACTTTCAATATCCTTATCTTCCTGAGTCCACCACTCATAACACCTTGCCTTCTCCACTCCTAAACCGGGCTACTTAGGTAATGAAACACACATTCCTGTAGACTGGTACCCCTATCTTTACAGTGCACAAGCTCACTGCCCCTTAGCAACAGTCTTTTTAAACATTTCTGGTGAGGAGATATCAACAATGGTTACTCCAAATTCAACACACGGGACTCAAGTTGCCCTCTACCTCCTGCCTTTCAGGGGATGATTGCTATCCCTTCAGAAAAAACAAAGGCTATTTATTAGGAGGAACTTTCTCTAACCCATTCTTACACGGTAACTTAGAGATCTGAAGGGCCCTTCTGTCTTTAGGACACTGATAAACTGATTACTCCCACCTTAAAACTGACCCCTCCCCAGCTTTCTTAACTAGAATCCCTCCCTAGCAATAGCTGACAGCCTCCTAGAAGATCCCTTGACCTCCAGTTTTATCTCTGGAAGCCAACTTGACTGTAGTGTTTTCTATGATACAACAGAGCATGCATGCATAATCAGAATGGTGTAATATATGATATAACATCTAACTTTTTCCATGATTTGATTGTGAACATTTCCCACTGTTGTCTGAAATTATGTTTCTGTATATAAATCCCTGTCTACAGGGATGCCTGGGTGCCTTAGTGGTTGAGCATCTACCTTCGGCTCAGGGCATGATCCTGGGGTCCTGAGTCTGAAAGCTGCATCAGGCTCCCCGAAGGGAGCCTGATTCTCCCTCTGCCTACATACATCTCTGCCTCACATGAATAAATTTTTAAAAATCTTTTAAATAAATAAATTCCTGTCTACATTTTATGGCTTCTACAACACTCTACAGAGTTCTATAAATATACCATTCAACACTCAGAATTGTTTTGAAGATTAAGAAGGTTATAATATAAAACCCCTCACAGTAAGCAGAAACTAGTTAAATATGTAATTATAGTAAGTGACCATTTAAAAGTCTTCCCTTCCCTAAATGTACCTTTTTTTTAAAGAATAAAAGATTTTATTAGTTTATTCATGAAACAAAGAGAGGCAGAGACATAGGCAGAGGGAGAAGCAGGCTCCCCATAGGGAGCCTGGTGTGGGACTCAATCCTGGGACTCCAGGATGACACTCTAGAGCCAAAGGCAGACAGACGCTCAACCACTGAGCTGCTAAACCACCCAGGAGTCCCTAAATGTATCTTATTTTATAATTTGGAGTCATGTGTTACATTAAAAACAAAAATTAGAAAAAAAAAAAAAAAGGCTGGGACGCCTGAGTGGCTCAGCAGTTGAGCGTCTGCCTTAGGCTCAGGGTGTGATCCTGGAGACCCAGGATCGAGTCCCACATCGGGCTCCCTGCATGGAGCCTGCTTCTCCCTCTGCCTGGTTCTCTTCCTCTTTCTCTCCGTGTCTCTCATGAATAAATAAAATCTAAAAAAAAAAAAAAGGAAATTCCTGGAAATTGAAAACAAACTAAAACAAATCCAACTATATACCCAGTTGGCATAACCACACAGAAAATTCTCTTAAGTATCCTTGAAATACAAATTCCTAAAGGGATATATCCTTGGAAAGGTAGGGGTTCTAAAAATTTTTTTCCTAAAGTGATCCCTTTCCCATCTTTGCATTACTCCCACATCATCTATGTCACTTTGTTTTCCTAAGTAAACTATAAAGTATTTTATCAAATTAAAAGAATTTAATTGAAAATTTAATTAGAAACACAGTCTATAAAATCTGGAATGAAATGACATATAGTAATAATTAAGTTTACCCATTCTGAAAAATGGTAGGCCTCTTTGTTCCAGTTTTAATTCTGTTTTTATTGTTGTTGTCGTCAAACGATTCTTTATGGAAATATTTTCCTTTGTAGTAGTTCTTAACTAGCTGGACATTCCACTGCAGCACTATTAATGTCATGAGGATGGTGGTCATCAACATTGCAGCCCACAGATTATTTAAGAGTCCCCAGGATCTCTTTAATAGTTCCAGAGAATCTCTAGCTAAACATTGGTAATTCTAGATTACCAGAATTCTCTCGCTAAAGATCAGACCCTTCCAATCATTAGTTGCCTTAGCTAAAGCCCAGTAACGCATTTGTTGGGCAATGTTGACAATCTCATCAAAACTGATATTCCCACTGTGCTTAATGTTTTTCTGCTTCTTCCAGTCTCGTGGGGGTTCCTTGAGCACTCTGACAATCAGGGCAGAGGCAGAAAATACCACTTCAACTAGGCTTGTCTGTTCTGGTCAGTTACACTGTCATCCTTAGACACTTACAATCATCAGTGGCCTTGGCAAGGTCATCAGCAACCTCTATCGGAGATGGGACTCAGAAGGCCAATCTTGGGGACCAGGGCAGACAAAGCACTCACTTCCCCATGAGTGCACCTCAGGTACATAACTTTGATCTTATTGGGGTTGGGATCTCAACTTAGGTGGCATGGTAGAGGCAGCTAGTGTCAGGATGAACCCAAAGTTAGGACTACCAAAAACAGTTGTACCTTTGTCTCCTTCAAACCAAAAACCAAAAAGCTCATCTTTTATCATTTTAGATCAATTGCAGCCGAAGCTGTAACCCAGGCCAAATGATAATGCTGAAAGTAGTATCACCCATCTAAGCGTGTTGTGGGACTTACTTAGAAGTAAAAACGTATAAACCAATATTTGTGCCTTTGATAGTGTATAATGAATCCATAATATATCCACATAGTATCACCACAACCCAAATCCCCTGGTACTTAGAAAGGGCCTGTGCAAAAGTTTAAGATTGACAGCTTCTTAACCCTCCCCAAACTCTTCCTTAGGTCACTGCAGAATATTTTGGGGAGAGAGTGTATATAGTCACCCAATAAACACTGAACTCCTACTATGTGCCACACACTAGATGGTGCTGAGAATACATTAATAAGAAAAATAGCAAGCTCCCTGAAAAAAGGCCTAATTAAAATTCCTAATTCTCAAAGCAACAGAGATAAGCAGTAGGGCAATATACTAAAAGCTGCCTGCCTGCCCCTACTTCATAATTTCACATATCCAATTTGCAAACATTTTTAGGAATTGAGAAAATAGGGGACATCCAATAGTAGGAGCAGGTGCTCAAATACTCCATTAATTAACAATCTTTATAAAAACTCAAATTTTCTTCACAAATTCAATTCAGTATAAAAATCCTCCATTTTAGAAATTTAAATAAACAATGTGAAATATAGATTATCTACATAAATAAAATGTTGCCCTTTATTTTCAAACTTTTAACTTTTAAAAGATAAGCTTAATCTGCCTATATGTTAACCCAGACTGTTAAGTTTTTGGCACTTAAAGATTTTATTAGGAGGCTTAGCTTTGGTGTACCAAATTCACTTAGATTCTAGATTTTCAATTATTCTACAGCAGTAGCAACTTACACTGGGGTGACTTCGAGGAGGTATTCGTTCTCTTGGAAGTCTTTCATAGTCATATCGTCCCTCAGACCACATTTCATCTCTTCTGTAAGCCACTAAACAAAAAGGAACCAAAAAGTTATGGCTTTTTATGTAATTAGGAAGCAATAGAGAAGATTTTTACAAGAGTAAATAGTTACATTTCAACACAAATATTTTCCAGAGATACTTAAGAAAAAAATGTTACTGACCAAAAGGAAAAAAGAATGATTAAGGCAATTCTTCTTCCAAACAATTCTGAAATGTTCTTTTTTAAAAAAATGTAATAGAAAGCCCCACATTCCGTTTCAAAGACTATTTAAAGCTTCAAAGAGTTTGTTCCCATCACGGTAAAAAGATCCAGAAGACCACAAATATTTCTTCATTCTCATAGTAAAAATTTTTTTTCTCATAGTAAAAATTAGAAAGATTCATTTTCATGAATAATTTGCAACGGTGATCAGCAATGCTATTCCTATTTCCCGGTGGATGGTTTCTATAACACTTTTATAACATTTTTAGTTTTGCTACATTCCTAGAGCTTATCTCTTATATATGTTCAATGAAATGGTTTTAACTTAAAAGTTTAAATAAACAATCCTATAAAAACACAATCAACAAACTGAATTAAATCACTCTCAATTTTGCTTTTAATGCTATAAGTTTATTTTAATGCAAAGGCACTTTCATAAAATTCAAAATTAAAAGTTCTGTCAGCATTTTTCATGTTTGGGATGCAGAGAGAGGCTTCCTACTTTGAGAGCTGCCATGTTCTGGGTAAAGCACTAATGCAGTACATTACGGAGTCCAGATGAAAACAAGTGTGAGGACAGCCCGGGTGGCTCTGCGGTTTAGCACCTGGCTTCAGCCCAGGGCGTGATCCTGGAGACCCGGGATCGAGTCCCACATCAGGCTCGCTCCCTGTGTGGAGCCTGCTTCTCCCTCTGCCTGTCTCTGCCTCTCTGCGTGTGTGTGTGTGTGTGTCTCATGAATAAATAAAATCTTAAAAAAAAAAAAAAAGAAAACAAGTGTGAACAAGGAGAAGAAGGTAAGCAAGACAAGTAAGAGAGATGATGAGCACAGGGTGCAGAAAATACCCTAAAGGTCACTTATATGGGGTTGGAAAACTTTATAAAGGACCAGACTTTTATTTTCAGCCTTGCAGGTACGTCACAGGTCTCTGTCACAACCACTCAATTCTACTGTTATAAAATGAAAGCAGCCATAAGCAATACATAATAAACGTAGGGGTGTGGTCATATTCCAAAAAATTTTTATTTACAAAAACAGGAAGGCTGTTTTTGTAGGCAGCAGCTCATTAACCACCAGAGTAGATGAGAAATGGTTAACAAAGCAGAACCAAGAGAACACGATGCAGGTTCTAACCCAAGAACTATGAACTATCCTGATATATAGAAGGATAATCATGAGCGAAAAGTGAAAAATGGGACAAGTACTAAGTCAGGATCTTTGTAATACAAAAAAATTGGGCAACAAGTCCAGACACATAATCTGTAGATTTGTGGAGTAGGAAAATATTTCAGAAAAATACATGTCAAAAGATTTTTGGTGGTCCTTTATGAGGTAATAACAATAAGAGGGGGGAAAAAAAGAAATGACATTCTATTTTGGCAGCATAAAATTCTAACGGTTCAGGCTAAGCAAAAAAGGCTGAAAAATAAGGGTAGTATTTTTTGATACTATCCACAGTATAAACAATCTTAATTTTCTCTATAAAAACAAATCTACAATATTTTCTGATACAAATAGACCCAATAAAATGAACTCAAAGATGCCTAGAAAAATCTTAATTTAAGTTACAAATTAGCTTTTAACATTATACATAAATCAAACTGAATTCCAAGTCCATAATCACACATCATCATGAATGTTATTTCAGGAGCACCTGAATGGCTCAGTCAGTTAAGCATCTGCCTTCAACTTCGGCCATGAACTCAGGATTCCCTCTTCCTCTGCTCCCACCCCCTGCCCTGCATGCTCTCTCTCAGATAAATAAATAAAATCTTAAAAAAGAGGGAGAATGTTATTTCAAAGTAATCAGTCTTTTAAGAATTGATGGAAACTTGAAAAAAAAAATTACCAAAATTTCTCCTCCTTTACTGAACCCACCAAAGGTTTCAGTCTAAAAAACAAGTCAGTTTTATCCTACTTGAGAAACAATAGAGAAATAATAGCAACCAACTGAAATCAAATCACAGGGGAAAAAATGAACCCAAAAGAAAAATGTACAAATGATATGAAGAGAGTTCACAAAAAAAAAAATGACTTAATCTTTTGAAAAGATGCTCAACTTTCTTCAAAATAAGGAAGATGAAAACTAAAACTATAATGGAGTTATACCAATTTGCACCCAAAGCTCTGCAAAGAAAATCAAACTCTTTCGACTAGAGTAAGAAAAGCCAACACTCTCATAATTAATGAAATGAGTATAATTTTAATTTGGTGCAGATTGGGAAAAAATGAGCAAAATCTATTAAATGTTAAATGAACATATGCTTTGACCTGGAAATTCTATTTCTATGTATACTCTGCACAGGTACACAGCAAAGACTGAAAGCAACCTAGAATGTTGGTCAGGAGGGTAGAGATTAAATAAAATGCTGTATATTCATATATAAAGGAATATTATGCAAGCCATTTCAGAGAAAAGTAACCCATATATAATATAGAAGGAATGCCAAGATACACTGCTAGGTTAAAAAAAAAGGGGGGTGGGGGATCCCTGGGTGGCTCAGCAGTTTAACGCCTGCCTTCAGCCCAGGGTGTGATCCTGGGGTCCCGGGATTGAGTCTCACATCGGGCTCCCTACATGGAGCTGCTTCTCCCTCTGCCTGTGTCTCTGCCTCTATCTCTCATGAATAAATAAATAAAATATTTTTTTAAAAAAAGGTTGATTAATATGTTGAATACACTGCCACTTAGGGAAAATAAAAAAAATAGGGTATGAATACATATCCATATGTACAGATTATGTAACAGTGCCTGACACTGGGAAGAAATGGGTGGCTGGGTACAGGAAGGTGAATATTTATACTGCGTTATGTGTTATACTTTCTATCATCTATAATAAAAATAAGTTACTATTTTTAAAGATCCTGGAAATCATTCACGAAGTATAATGTGTCAGAGCACCTGGCAGGCTCAGTCGGAGGAACATGTGACTCCTGATCTCAAGATTTCTATTTCAAGTCCCACGTGGGGTGTAGAGATTACGTAAATAAGTGATACTTTAAAAAAAAATTTTTAATTAAAAGAAAAATAACATCTCAAGTGATAGCAATAGTTATGAATATAAATTAATGAACTAAAGGAAAACAAGTAAAAATAAGATGGAATTAATTTAAAAAAATACAAGAGTTCTAAGGAAATAATATATAGTTTAACTAGATATAATACTACAATATTAAAGTTACTAGTTTCCCACAAAAAAAAAAAAAGTAAGAATAACTACTATACTACTTACTTGAGTCCTTTCAGGAATCAAATTTAAAGTTTTCAACAATCTCCTGTAGGAGGGGGGAAAAGTACAGACATAAGGATTTCTGTCTGTATAAACCAATCAATGGAGAAAAATAATTAACTCTTCATTATTTGCATAAATAAAACTCTCAAAATAAAAAATAATCACCATTAATAAGCCAAACTCCCTTCAAACACATCTTTAAAAACAGGAGATATTATTTTGACCACCAGAGGCCACCCAAGTTTCATAACAACAACTGAGTTATATTAAAAGAATTCTAGGGATCCTTGGGTGGCTCAGTGGTTGAGCAGCTGCCTTTGGCCTGGGGCGTGATCCTGGAGTCCCGGGATCAATTCCTGCGTCGGGCTCCCTGCATGGAGCCTGCTTCTCCCTCTGTGTCTCTGCCTCTCTCTCTGTCTCTCATGAATAAATAAATAAAATCTTTAAAAAGAAAAAAAAAAAGAATTCTAATCCTAACTTTGCCCAAAAGCTGAGAGCTAGGCAGGGCATAGGGCATGTCTCTTCTTAACCTTATCTCTAAAAGAATTACATTTAGTGTGTAAGGTAATTTTTATCTAGAATATTAAGAACACTGGCTTTAAAATATCTCATATGTTAAAAAAAATTCTAGCATCCTTAGTCTGGAAATCCCTACAGTTTATATTGGCAATAAACAGTCCCATGTTCAAGTCATCCCAAAATCAAACTGAGAATCATCAACTCATCAAAGAATACTAAACTCACTAGGTAAAAATTTGATGGAGAACTTTTTTTCCGATTTTTTTGAATATCACTGATAACCAACATTACAGTAGTTTCAAATGTACAACAATTATACATTATGCTATGCTCACAAGCGTAGCTACCATCTGTCACCATTGTATCGCTATTACAAAAATACCATTGACTATATTCTCTATGCTTTTTCCTCCTGTGACTACATTCTAGAACTCAAAGCTTGTATCTCCCACAACAGAGAACTTTTAAAAACTTTCCCTCAAGGGACACCTGAGTAGCTCAGTTAAGGGTCTGCCCTCAGCTCAAGTAGGCGATCCTGCAGTCCTGGGACTGAGGCCCTGCGTCAGGCTCCCTGCTCAGCAGGAAGCCTGCTTCCCCCTCTCCCTCTGCTACTCCTCCTACCACTTGTGATATCTTGCTCATTCTCTCGTGCTCTCTCAAATAAATAAATAAACAAACTTAAGGGAAAAAAGGTATTAAAACTTTTCCCCAAAAGAATGAAAGTACACTGAGCAAGCTTAGGTAAAATGAAGACAATAACAAAATAAGCAATGTGCAAAGCATGACGAACACTGCAAATCTATGAACTAGTCTGCAGGGATAGAAGAAACATATCTCACTCACAGCGAATATCCTCCTCAATGGGGAAAAACTGACCACCTTTTCCGTAAGGTCAAGAACACAACAGGGATGTTCACTCTCACCATTGCTGTTCAACACTAGTACTGAGTCCTAGCCTCAGCAATCGGACAACAAAAAGAAATAAAAGGCATCCAAATTGGCAAGTAGTCAAACTTTCACTCTTCACAGATGACATGATACTCTATGTAGAAAACCCAAAACACTCCCCCCCAAAAATTGCTAGACCTGATATAGAATTCAGCAAAGTCAAAGGACATAAAATCAATGCACAGAAATCAGTTGCATTTCTACACGCTAACAATGAGGCAGAAGAAAGAGAAATTAAGAAATCGATCCCACTTACAACTGCAACAAAAACCTTAAGATACTTAGGAACAGACCTAATCAAAGAGGTAAAGAATCTATACTGTGAAAATTATCTTTAAAAAAAAAAAAAAAAGAGAGAGAGCACCTGGGTGGCTCAGTGGTTGAATGTCTGCCTTTGGGACAGGTCATCATCCTGGCATCCTGGGATGGAATCCTGCATCAAGCTCCCCTCAGGGGTGCCTGCTTCTCCCTCTGCCTATGTTTCTGCCTCTCTCTGTGTCTCTCATGAATAAATAAGTAAAATCTTAAAAAAAAAAGAGAGCTATAGGCTTGAGTAGATTGATTCTCTGTCTGCCATTTTATATGAAATTCAAAGGATAGGAGTGGCTCTCCTAGAAAGATTAAGCTCACCTAATGGCTACACAGAGATTTTGTGCTTACTAGCCAAGTGCGAAAATAAAGCTCCTGATCTAGTTGTCTTTTTCTGCCTGGTAGTGTGCAAGACAACTAACAGAATATTACTGTTATTACCTGAAAATAGATCTACTTTAATCAACCTATGATTTACAGAAGCTTAAAAAAAGTCGCAAAGAAAGTCAAAGTATATAACTTTGATGAAAACCTAGCAATTGGAAACAAAGTGGCTAGAACAAGGCAAAAAGTAAAAACATAAAAATTCAATAGGACATCTAAAATACACATTATCAAGAAACAAGAGATCAATTCAATTGTGAAGGAGCTAAATATGAACAAATGAATCAAAGAGCTAAAATCTGGAGATACCTCAACAAATGGAAACAGAAAAACACCTAAACAAATGTACATTTATCTGATGGAAAGTTATTTAGTGGGTGTATTGGTCAGTTCGGGAAGATGAAAAATGTTGGATAGTAGTGATGGTTGTACTATAAATGTGAAGGTACCTTGAATTGTATACTTAATGGTTAAAATGGTAAATTTTATGTATATTTTAACACACTAAAAAATAAAAAAGCATGAATTTATCTGGCAAACTGCCAACTGATTTTGCTGAATGTAACTATCACTTCTGTAGTGTATCGATCTGTATACTGAACTTAATTTCTACTAAAAACAAAAAGCATCCATGAAATAGCTACACATTGCATTACTGTTACAATTTTAATTCCTACAGTTAGTCCTATAACAGTTTTGCATGTTTGACTCCATATTTGATGATGCCCCAGGGGAGTATTCACCTTAGTGGGAGCTACAGAAATCAGTTAAATGTAAAAATGTTTAGTAAATAAATAACTTCTCTTTACCTTAAAAAGTTGATAAATTTTAAAGATCCTAATTTAAATTACTGGTGTTTTATGTAAGTGATGAATTACTAAATTCTATTCCTGAAATCAGTATTACAGTATGTTACCTAACTGAAATTTAAATAAAAATGTGAAACAGGGGCACCTGGGTGACTCAGTTGGTTTAAGCATCTGACTCTTGATTCTGGGGTCGTGAGACCATGCCCTACATTGGGCTCCATACTGGGCATGGAACCCAGTTGGTATTCTCTCTCCTCCTCTGCACCTCACACGGCTCACTCACATGTGCATGTGCACACGCTCCTGAGTGCACTCTCATTCATATATAAATAAATAATAAAATTTCAATTCCTGTACACCTGGTGAATAATTTTATAAAAGAAAATTAGTTTGCAGGGCTCCTGGATGGCTCACTCAATTAAGCGGCTGCCTTCAGCTTACACCATGACCCCAAGGTCCTGGAATGGAGCCCCACATCAGGCTCCTTGTGCAGTACGGAGCCTAGTTCTCTCTCTCTCTCCCTCTGCCTGCCACTCCCCCTGCCTGTGCTCTTTCTCTGTGTCAAGTAAATAAATAAAATCTTTAAAAAAAAGAAAAGAAAATTAGTTTCTTTTACAAAAGACAATAGTTTAATTGCTTAAGTGTCTGTAATACAATGATTAAATATACACATTAGACTATAATCTCCTGTAAAAAGAATTTCATTTTTTAAAGTTACCTCTTCCTGGTGAGTCAACTAAAGTATCAGTATCTTACTGGGGTTTGGGAGTTTTTTGTGAGCAGGGGGATGAGCTAAATGGGTAATGGGTACTGAGGAGGGCACTTGCTGTGATGACCCCCAAGTGCTGTATCTAAGTGATGCATCACAAAATCCCACGTGTGAAACCAACTTTATACTGTATAACTAACCTGAAGTTTTAGTTAAAACTTGGATAAAATTTTTAAAAAAAGAATCATCATCAAGGGGTGCCTGGGGAGCTCAGTTCGTTAAATATCTGACTCTTGATTTCAGCTCAGGTCATAAGCAACACCATCAGGTTCCCCACTGGGCAAGGAGCCTACTTAAGAGTCAGTCTCCCTTCCCCTCTGGCCATCACCCCCCTCACCCCCTCTCCTGTTCTAAAAAAATAATAACAATAATTTTAAAAAAAGAATCAAGAAAAAAAATGAGCACCCTATGACTAAGAAATACCACCACTGAGTATATACTGTTACAGGATCTGTGTACCAGAGTCAGATAAGGTTGATCACTGCAAAACTTTACATTTCTAGAAAATGTGTACACATTTAAAATGAAATATCTAGCTACTAAAATACATGTACAATACTTAAAAGTATAACTTATCAGAACATTTTAATTAAAATACAGACTTTTGTCCCTCATCTATATGTGGTTAACTCTGGGGCATGAAAACACAAAATACAGATTTTGTTTTAAACTTTACACATGACTGGTACATTTTATGATTGCTCTTATTTGGGGATCTCTGAGTGGCTCAGCGGTTTAGCGCCTGCCTTCAGCCCAGGGCTTGATCCTGGAGTCCCTGGATCGAGTCCCACATCAGGCTCCCTACGTGGAGTCTGCTTCTCCTCTGCCTGTGTCTCTACACCTCTCTCTCTCTCTCTAATGAATAAATAAATAAAATCTTAAAAAAAGTTATGATTGCTCTTATTTTCTCTCTTCTCTGATGGAATTACAATCCTGGCATTATGGCCATCAATATCTTTACACAATCTACAGGTATCTAGTTTTTAATGTACTTTTACCATACCTCTATTCTTTTTACAAAACGGCAGTATCAGAATAAAATGCTTTATTGTTAACTAAATTACTCTTAAGGGGTGCCTGTGTGAGTCAGCCGGTTGAGTGTCCAACTTTTGATTTTAGCTCAAGTCATGATCTCAAGGTCCTAGGATGGAGAGTTGGGTTCCCTGCCAGAGAGCCTGCTTGGATTCTCTCCCTCTCCCTCTGATCCTCCCCTAACTCTGTGCCCATGCATATATGTGCTCTCTCTCTTTAAAAACAAAATTAAAAAAATAAATTACTACATATTTTCAGAATAAAGAATATAAA